AAAAATCACCCACTGCTATATTAATAAATTTTAAAATTAAAAACATTCACTTTTTAATTTAATTTTATTTATTTTTTATCTTTTGAGTCAGAGTCTCACTCTGTTGCTCAGGCTGGAATGCAGGGGCATGCTCATGGCCACTGCAGCCTCAACCTGCTGGGCTCAGGCGATCTTGGGACTACGGGCATGCACCATGATGCCCGGCTAATTTTTCTTGATTTATTGTAGAGATGAGGTCTCACCAAGTTGCCCAGACTGGTCTCAAACCCGTGGGTTCATACAATCCTCTCACCCCAACCTCCTAAAGTTCTGGGATTATAGGCATAAGCCACCGCGCCTGGCCGACATTGTTTTTAGACAAGGTATCAGGAACTTGCTAGATACATTATGAGGAGACACCCAAAAAAACTGGAATTTATTTATAAAAAATTGTGTATTTATTCTTACATGTTTAAACTTCAGTCACCTTCAAAGTATTCTCTGCTTGATATACTACACCTACCAAGACGTTTTTTCCACAGCTCAAAACAGTTTTTGAACTTGTCAATTTCGATACCTTTTAATGCTTCTGCCGTTTTTGGTTTCACCTCTTCCACATCAGCAAAATGTTTGCCTTTGAGGACTTTTTGCATCCAGGGAAACAAAGATAAGTTGCTCAGGGCAAGATCGGGTGAATATGGTGGGTTGGGCATGGGGGTCATGCTATTTTTGGTCAAAAACTGCTGTACACTGAGCAGTATGAGCAGGCACGTTATCATGGTGGAAGAACCAGCCACCTGTTTGCCACAACTTGGGGCATTTCTTACGCAAACTGTGCGGCAACCTTCTCAAAACTTCCAGATAAAAACTTTGGTTGACTGTTTGATCTGAAGGAACAAGTTCACAGTGTACTACAAGGAGCCCACCCTCCAAAAGATAATTCCAATTTGGGGGGTGCCCCCTCGTATACATTCATTCAACCTCCCAACCACCTAACAGTAATAACAATAATTGCACTACCACTTAAGTAACACAATGAATATAAGAACTTTCACATAAATTACTCCATCTTGTCTTCAAATAATCCTGTAAGGTATTCCACTCCTAAATGTGCTCAGATTTTGTATATCTTCTCCAAGGGGGCACATCACACCCAGAGAGTTCAGAGCTCTGCTCTCCACTGAAAACTAAGGAACAGAGTACAACCCAAAAGTGAATGTCTTTTCTTTTACAAATATTGGGGTGAGGAGTATAATTGTTATTTCCAAGGGAAAGTTTGGTGTTTAAAGTCATTTGGACTATTGGGTACTTGCTGAAATACATGGTTATATCACTAAATTCACAAATGTGTCTGTTCAGGGGAGATAACAGAAATATACAAAATAATTTGTCACAACAAATAAGAAGTTGACAGCGTGGCAGAGCAAGGAGATTAGCAAGAACACACAACTGGAGAATCTGGCAACTTGCCCAAAGCCAGGTAGACACAGGCCAGGAGAAATCTCGACTACATTCCCAACTCCATGGGCATTTTCCTTTTCAACAACTCACAAATAAGACCTGAAATCCAGAGCCCTTTAGCCACAAGATGGCAGACATCAGCATGAATGAGACTGAAGTGATTTTTCCCACCCAGAGATTTGCTGCAAATGGCCCAAGTCAAAACAAATGTTTTTGATCCCACATGAATAAATAATGATTTCCAAATATACTCTTGACACACAAAACAGGAACCCTCTTCACTCTAACGTGGAAAGGGCTACAACCCACAGACTTAACAGTTATCCCCTCTGTTATGCACCAACCCCCCTAAAGTTAATGATGTCTGCATGTCTTTAATATGGTTCCCAAACCTTTAGTCAAAGTACAAACAGCAATCAAAATCAAAACCAACTGAAATGGAACATTCAGCAAGCGAGTCACCAGTCTGTGGCAGGGCCATGCCAAGGCACTGCTCCCTCCCTGGCTGAGCCCACAAACTCACCTCTGCAGCTGACAGCAAGTAGAGAGGCGTTAAGGCAGGAGCCTGATTCATGTGACAACTTAGGCCGAGGGTCGTCAGAATCTCTTTAAGAACTTCATATCTTCTGAAATTGCTAGATTTGAGCAAGTTAAAATCCTCTGGCGTTTGCACGGTTACAGAGCTGGGAGGTAGTTCTAAGTGCACCTGAGGGGAAAAGGGCATCACTGGGTAAGTCAGGGGCACTTATAGACACTAAGCTTCTTTACCAGTTTCTCTGAAAACCTGAACACGAAATCCTGCTAATTATCAACAGCATATAAACTCTGAGCCTGAGTATCTTTCTGGAAAAAGTAATGGCAAGCAAGAAAATGATTCAAAGAGCCTTTAAGAGGCTGTGGTTGTGGTTGTCAGACTGAGAGATCACGGTGCTAATAACCCTGGGTAGTGATTAAATTCTTTCCAGGTGCTGTTTTTTGCTTGTTTGTTTTTTGGAGGTGAGATCTCATTCTGTCGCCCAGACTGGAGTGCAGTGGCACAATCATGGTTCACCGCAGTCTCAATTTCTTGGGCTCCAGCGATCCTTCTGCTCCAGCCTCCTGAGTGGCTGAGACTACAGGTGTGCGCCAACTCACCTAGCTAATTTTTTTATTTTTTGTAGAGACACAATCATGCCATGTTGCCTAGGCTGGTCTCAAACTCCTGGATCCAAGCAATCCTCTTGCCTCAGCCTCCCAAAGTACTGGGATTACAGGTGTGAGCCACTGCACTCAACTACAGGTGCTGGTTTCTATCACAAATCAGTCATGTGACCTTGAGCAAGTTACTTAACTTGCTTATAGAACCAAAATATTTAGAAATACAGTTGTGCTAGGAACCCAGTTGTTACTGAACTCACTCACGGAGACACACACATGGGTCATGCTGGAAATTTCTATTTGATCTATTAGTCATTACCAGAAAACAATACTTGGAGGGACAACAGCCTTATTCATCATTTTAAGAGTACAGGCAGGAATTCAAATACAGGAGGTCCTTGAATAATGTCACTTTGTTCAAAGTTGTTGTGTTGTAACACTGATGAAAAAAATTGATTACCAGCTGAAGCCACTGTCTGTGTGGAGTATGCACATTCCCCCATGTCTTTGTGGTTTCCTCTCACTTCCCAAAGCTTGACCCGGCAGGTCGACTGGCATGTCTACATGGCCCCAGTGTGAGTGAGTGTGGGTGTGAAAGACAGTGCATCCTTCAATGGAAGGAGGTTCTGTCCAGGGTTGGTTCCTGCCTAGCCCTGGGTTACCAGGCCAAGCTCTGGCCACCTGTGACCCTAAACTGGAATTAGCGAGTAAAAAATTATCTTACTTTTTATTAAACTTTCTTAAATATACATAGAGCTCACATTTATTTCAATGTTTAATTGAAACATTAAGAAGTATTTTAGCCTTTAAAGCTATTGTATGCAAAGCTTCCCTTACAGGGGCATTATAAAAATAAAAAGCATGATGCCAGTCCTTAGGCAGCTTAAAATCTCTCAATTCCCACCCAACCCCGAACCAAGCTAAATATACTATCCTAATATATTTTCCAGAATGGTCCAAATGTTAAAAGTTGACGCCCCTCTGAAAAGGTCTGCAGGACCCTGTCCAACACAGTCCCCAAACTGTTGGCTGGCCGTCAAGTCCATCACTGAGCACGCCAATCAGGAGACTGCAGGTCAGGAAGGCCTGTCATCTAGATGGCCTTGGAGAGGGGATGAGGAAGAAAAGCAAAACCCTCGAAGGGATCTGTATTCTTAGTGTTTCCACCCTAGACATGCACCTTTCCTCTCCACAGGACAAAGCCAGTGCCAGTGTGGACAAGCAGCGCAGAAACGGCTCCACTTAATTCAGGTGAACACACGGCTATCCCAGAGATTAACCCATATGGGAGGCAGAAATAAAACGAGCCAAGCACAGCTCCCATCGAGCCCAAAGGAGAAGGGGAGGCACATGATTGAATGCACATGGGTTCACTGGATGGGGTGACAAGAGTCTCATCCTCTGGTTGCAATGTTGTTACCATAATGACGAGCCTATTTCGGCAACTTGGCTTCTTCCAAAAGTAAGGCTTTTTTAATGACCAAAAGCCAGAACTGAAAAATGTCTCCAGTCACAAATGGAGGAAGAGAGCTGCTACTGGCATCTAATAGGTAGAGACCAGGGATGCTGTTCAACAGCCTAAAACGCACAGGACCATCTCACCACAAAGAATGATCTGGCCCAAAATGTCAATAGTGTCATGGTTGAGAAACTGCTGTGAAAGTAGACCCACCAGTTACCGCAGCTCACACCTATAATCTTAGCACTTTGGGAGGCCAAGGTTAAAAGATCACTTGAGGCCAGGAGATCGAGATCAGCATGGGCAACACAGTGAAACCCTATCTCTACAAAAAAATTAATAATTAATTGTAAAAAAAAAAAAAAAAAAAAAAAAAGGAGCCGGGCTCGGTGGCTCAGCCTATAATCCCGCGCCTTTGGGAGGCTGAGGTGAGTGGATTGCCTGAGCCCGCGGGTTCGAGACCCGCCTGGGCAGCGAGACCTCATCTCTACAATAAATCAAAAAATCAGCCGGGCGTGGTAGCGCATGCCTGTAATTCCAGCTACTTGGAAGGCTGAGGCGGAAGGATCGCCGGAGCCCAGCAGGTCGAGGCTGCGGTGGCTGGGAGCGGCCACTGCACTCCAGTCTGGGCGACAGAGTGAGACTCCAACTCAAAAAAAAAAAAAAGAAGAAGAGAACGGAGACCCACTTCTGCTACGTGCTAAGCTAAATAAGAAAACAAAATCTTTTGGAATCTATTGTAGAGATTTTTATTAGAACTACTTCATGCTAAACTTCTGGCCCTTTTGATAGTCATTTATAAGCATTAATTTATAGCCTTAAATTTTCCCTGCAAACTTCTCACTATAGTAAACACACAAACATTTCCTCTTTTTCTGTATTATTACAAATGGCAAAGGCATCAAATCTGCAGCTTAGTTGGCGGGGACACCACTGCTTAGGGTGCAGCTGTGTTTTGCCCTTGAAGTTCTCTGCCTCCTCTTATTGGGTTACATCATTACTAGATTTATTACAAAGATGAAGACTATGAAATTGAACAAGGAACGAGGAAACTAACCAACCTGCGATAATATTTATTTTTTGATCTCAGTAAGGTATCACAGAGACACGGGCCTGTGGAGAAAACAGTGACCCTGTCACATAGAAGGCTGGAAGTCATTAAAAATCAAAAATGACATTCTAATCCTCTGAATCTGATTTGTGAAGCTGCATCATATTGCCTTTTTTTCTTCCTAGGGCAATACACTACAGTATCAAGTTTTATGATGGTAATAGGGTCAATTTAAATGGCACAGCAAGCAGATTTGCTGTGTAACTCAGAGAAATGGATCACAACGGTGCCGAATCAATTTTCTAGTACAAGTCTGTGCACAGGGGTGGTAAAATTCACTCTTTAAAACTGAAGTATAGCTCTAGGACGTTGGGTTTTTACATGGATTTTCTACGAATGCACAGTTACTATAGTTACCATATAGGGAGAGAAAAAGGTAAGAGGAATCTTTATCAGGCCTCCAAAGCTGATTCATGTGGTTTGCAGCCCTATGGGAAACTTGCTTGGGTTATACATATTCCTCTACCCTATTCTTTGCCTGAGTATCATCTTAAGAATAAATGAGAAGGCTTTAGAATAGCAGAGAAGCTGGGCTCGGTGGCTTAGCCTGTAATCCCGCGCTTTGGGAGGCTCAGGTGAGTGGATTGCCTGGGCCCGCAGGTTCGAGACCTGCCTGGGCAACTTGGCAAGACCTCATCTCTACAACAAATCAAAAAATCAGCTGGGCATGGTAGTGTGTGCCTGTAATTCCGGCTACTCGGAAGGCTGAGGTGGAGAGATCACCAGAGCCCAGTAGGTTGAGGCTGCAGTGGCCAGGAGCAGCCACTGCACTCCAGTCTGGGCGACAGAGTGAGACTCTAACTCAAAAAAACAAAACAAAACAAAAAAAGAATAGCAGAGAAACAAATCTACACCCTCCTGAAGACTGGTCAGAAAACCCAAGAATCTTAGCTTCTGGGAGGGCTGGAAAGAAACAAGTTATTGTAAAATGAAAATAAAACTAAATAAACAATTCTCCAACTCAATAAAAAGATCCCTATAACAAAACAAAACAAAATCTGTTACATTCATCTTGGGAACTCTTCTGGACAAAATATCTACTTCCACTTAGTTTTTTCATTAGATCATCAAATCCTCAAGGACAAATGAGCATTCATCTAACAAAAACTTTGGCCCTAAGGCATTACAAGATTTGTAGTAAACAATGAGGAATTCTGAAACAATCTATCCTGCTACTGTTCACATAAACAAACAGCTAAAAGTAAAAAGACTGAATAAGAAACAGCAGAAAAGCCAAAGAACCTCTGATGTAGGGAAGGAAATCAACATTTTCCTCTGATCGTTTTTTTCTATTTCTTCCTGACTGACCTTTGTATTTATATGCCATAAATCTAAATAACCTCAATATTCTCTTACTTTAAGTGTCTTAGAAGGGCCTAGATGTTAAGAGTGACAAATCATATGAAAGGAACTGAGGATATGAAGATGTTTTTATCATAAACAACCTTGGCAATCAACTGCAATGTTTTTTTTCTGAGATGAGGTCTTGCTATGTTGCCCAGGCTGGTCTCAGACTCTTGGCCTCAAGTAATCCTCCTGCCTCGGACTCCCAAAGTGCTGGGATTACAGGGGTGCGCCACCATGCTCAGCCCAACTGCAAATTTTAATTGATGATGATGGACGTTTTGAATCACCACACCGAAAGTTTCAACTTCCTAGTTAAATAAAAGCTCAATTACATGAAAGAATTTAATCCTTGGTTAACCAGCAAGCTACGCGAACCATATCACCTGTTTCCTTACTCCACCACAAGTCTTTGGGTTAATCAGGGTATTCATAGAAGCCTTGAGCTAAAGTAAACCTTCTGCTCACCATCAGCAAAGGGATCTATCCAACAGTCGAAAATAACCCGCAGCCAGTCATGATGGCTTACACCTGTAATCTCAGCACTTTGGAGGCCAAGGTGAGAGGACTGCTTGAGCCTAGATGTTCAAGACCTCATCTCTACAAAAAATTCAAAACATTAGTGGGTGTGGTGATGCGTGTCTGTAGTCCCAGCTACATGAGAGGCTGGGTTGGAAGGACTGCCTGAGCCGAGGAGGTCAAGGATGTGGTCAGCTATGATTGCGCCACTGCACTCTAACCTCAATGACACAGTGAGACCCCAACTCAAAAAAAAAAAAAGGAACCTGCAGCACACAAACTCTTGAAACCTTTATGTATACAGCCTTAAAGAGCATACTCTCAATCAAGACCCAAATAGACCAATAACATAAAAAAACTACCTACAAAAAGAAAAAGTCCTGAACCAGATGGCTTTCCAGCAGAATTCTACAAAACATGCAAGAAGGAGCGGATACCAATCCTATTGAAAGCATTCCAGGCAATTGAGAAAGATGAAACTCTCCTCAAATCATTTTATGAAGTTAACATCACATTGATATCCAAACCAAGTAAAGATCCAACAAAGAAAAAGAACTACAGGCCAGTATCCTTGATGAACATAGATGCCAAAATTCTCAAAAAAATTCTAGCAAACCAGATCCAATAACACATCTCAAAAAACATCTACCATTTTCAAGTAGACTTCATTCCAGGATGCAGGGCTGGTTCAACATCCATAAGACCATAAACATAGTTAAATACATCAACAGATATAAAGACAAAAAACACATGATTATATCATTAGATGCAGAAAAACTTTTGATAAAATCCAGCACCCCTTCTTGATAAAAACCCTCGAACATCTAGGCCTAGCTGAAACATACCTCAAAATAGTGAGAGCCATCTATGAGAAACCCATAGCCAACATACTGCTAAACAGAAATTGGAACCATTTTCCCTGAAAACCAGAACAAGACAAAGATGCCCTCTTTGAACCCATCCTGTTCAACAATGTATTGAAGTCCTAGCTAGAGCAATTAGACGAGAGGAAATCAAAGGTCTCCAAATAGGAAAAGAGAAAGTTAAGTTATCCCTGTTTGCAGACAACATGATTCTATACCTCAAAAACCCAAGAGGATCTGTCAAAAACCTCCTTGCACTGATAAAGGACTTTAGCAAAGTCTCAGTGTATAAAATAAATATGAAAAAATTCAGTCGCATTTCTATACACCAACAATAAACTAACAGAAACCCAAATAAAAAGCACAATCCCATTTACAATAGCCACAAAAAGAATGAAACACCTTGGCATCTTCCAAACCAGAGAAGTCAAAGACCTTTACAACGAAAACTACAAAACACTGCTCAAAGAAATCAAAGATGACACAAGCAGATGGAAAAATATTCCATGCTCATGGATTAGAAGAATCAACATTGTTAATGTGTCCATCCTTACTTGGAAGGTTGAGGCGAAAGGATCACCTAAGCCCAGCCGCTGGTCAAGGCTGCAGTGGCCATGAGCATGCCACTGCATTCCAGTCTGGACGACAAGAGTGAGGCTCCAGCTCAAAAAAAAAAAATGTCTATCCTACCCAAGGCAATCTACAGATTCAATGCAATACCCATTAAATTACTTCTTTTCAGATCTAGAAATGACAATACAGGAATTCATAAGGAAACATAAATGACCACAAATAGCCAAAGCACTCAGCAAAAAAATAAAAATAAAAACATAAAGCAGGAGGCATCACGCTTCCAGACTTCAAGCTTTACTGTAAAGTTACAATAATCAAAACAGTATGGTATTGGTACAAGAACAGGCATATAGACCCTTGGATCAGGATAGAGATTCCAGAAGCAAAATCTCAATTTCTCATCTTCAACAACTCATCTTCGACAAAGCCTCCACCACCAAACCACTGGGGAGAGGAAAACCTATTCAGTAAATGGTGCTGGGAAAACTGGCTGACCACACGCAAAAGATTAAAACAAGATCCCTATCTATCACCATACACAAAAATCAACTCTAAACAGATCAAAGACTTAAACATAAAACCTCAAACTATAAGAACCTTAGAAAGTGCAGGGGACACCCTTATGGAAATTGGCACTGGCAACCAATTCCTGATCAAAACCCCCAGTGCCCATGCCATAAGAGATAAGATAGATAAGTGGGACCTCATCAAACTGACAAGCTTCTGCAAAGCCAAAGAAACCATTGCGAGAGCAGAAAGACAGCCCACAGACTGGGGAAAAAATATTTGCCAACTGTATATCTGACAAAAGCCTAACATCTAAGATCTATAAGGAACTCAAAAGTGCCGAAAAGAAAAAAAACAAAGAGCCCCATTACAAAGTGGGCAAAAGATATGAATAGACACTTCTCAAAAGCAGCCAACAGATACATGAAAAAATGCTCAGCTCACTAGTCATCAAAGAAATGCAAATTAAAACCATACTGAGATACCACCTAACTCTAGTCAGGATGGCCATCATCAATATCTCAAAAAACAACAGACGCTGGAGAGGATGTGGCAAAAAGGGAACGCTTCTACACTGTTTGTGGGAGTGTAAACTTGTACAGCCTCTGTGGAAAACAGTTTGGTGATTCCTAAAAGATCTAAAAATTGACCTCCCATATGACTCCACAATCCCCCTACTGGGAGTAGACCGAGGAATTCAAATCACTCTATGAAAAAGATGCCTGCATACACATGTTTATTGCAGTGTTCTTTACAACAGTAAAAACATGGAACCAACTGTGCTGCCCACTGAAAGAGGACTGGATAAAAAAAAAAAATTGGTACATATATACAATGGAATATTACACAGACATAAAGAAGGACAAAATTATAAACTTCACAGCAACTTGGATGGACTTAGAGGCTATAATACCGAGTGATCTATCATAGAAACAAAGAACTGAGTATCACACATCCTCACTCATAAGCGGACTTTGAACAACTATTGTAATATTATAAGAAAAGGATTGTCAGTAGTGGGAAACTACCAGGGAAGGGCAGGGGCAAGACTGGCAGTAGTGGGGAAGGGGGGCACACCTCATCAACAAGCATACCTGCATAATGAACATTTGTATACCTAACCCTGAATTGTACTCCATATATTTAAAATAATTTTTTTTTTAAGAGCATACTCCCTCTCAAAAGATACCCAAGATCACCAAATCGATACCACCCTCAGTACCTGGCAAAGGACGGCTTCTCCTCCATGAGTTCCAAAAGGCACCTGCACAATCATCCTGTCCTTGTCCTCATTCTCGAGGTGGCCCTGAAGCCTGCCCAGGCTGAGCTGCTCTCCAGGGCCCTCCTGGTACACAAAGCCACTGCTCAGAACACTGAGCTTCACCTCGCTCTGGTCAGCTTTGGAGAACACCAGCCTCTGGACCGTCTCCTGCAGCACAACCTTACTTGTCACCCGAAAGCCACCAAACGTGAAAGATGAAGACAGGCACAACACCTTCCCTCCCTGAGAAAGATAGGCCATGAACTTCTGGTACAGGTCTTCGGGAATGGACTCCGTGGAGGCAACAACTAACAGCAGGCAGTTGTCCAGCCATGGGTCTCTGAGAGCACTCTCCTCCAGCAGATGGTAGAGAACATAACTGTCAGTGTCCACACAGTCGGCCAGAACAGACCGCACCTGCTGCAACCGGCCAAAGGCTTCCTGGGAGTCAGGGCCCACATAGAGTAGGATGTTGGGTGCCTTTCCTGTGATGTTCACTCTCCTCCCTTCTATTTTGGGGCCAATCTCATCCGTAACACTCTCCAAACTACTGTTGTAATCATAGGGAAGATCCGGAATGTTCTCTGCAGATGCAAACTTGACTGACTCAATGGTGCTGTTCTCAAGTTCCAGACACTCGTGGCAACTAGACAGATGGAGGTGATAATGCTCAGCAGGGCCCCCTCCCCTGTCACTGTCCCCAGCAGGCTCACTCCCAGAGGCACTGCCCCTCCTCTGCTTGAGTTCTTCGCCAGGAACCTTCGGGGCCTCTTTGCCAATGTGTTCCATGATGTCTCTCTCAGGCTTAATCTCAAGAGAACTTTCGGGGTTCGGCGGCAGAATCTGTCCTTGCTTATTGGAAGCCTGGTCCTTAAATTCCTTCAGAGTGGAGTCCTGCAAATGCACTGCTAAAACATGACAGGAAACGTAATTAATCACCACTTCCTGGGAGTCACGAAGTTCCACTAAAGAATCTCAGCACCCCCTCTGCATTCCATGACTGACATTCCAAGACAGACACCTGTGTGGCTCCCACCTGCATGTCCCCTCAACTTGATAGCATCCTTGAGAACTACATACAAGGGAACCCCCCCAAAAAAAACACAAAATTATCTCTTGAGATTAAGCCTGAGATTAAGGCTTCTGACTAGGTAAGTGTTCTAGGAACTCACTGGTATCAGTGTACCAGCTAGCACTGTTGTGAGAGGCTGCGCTGTGGAAGAAGCGTCCCAAGTTGTGGCCAACAGGTGACTGGTTCTTCCACCATGACAACTCATCTGCCCATATCACAATGAGTCTTCAGCAGTTTTTGACCAAAAATGGCATGATCCCCATGCCACACCCTCCCTATCCCCCAAGCGACTTTCTTTTTGTTTCCCTGGATGAAAAAAGTCCTCAAAGGGAAACGTTTTGCCCATGTGGAAGAAATGAAACCAAAAAAATGGCAGAAGCATGAAAAGGCATCAAAATGGATGAGTTCAAAAAACTGTTCTGAGCAGTGGAAAAAGCTTCTCTATAGGCATATCGCATCAAACTTTGAATTCTTTGAAGGTAACTGAAATTTAAACAGGTAAGAATAAATACACAACTTTTTTTTTTTTTTTGAGTCAGATTCTCACTCTGTCTCCCAGGCTGGAGTGCAGTGGCATGCTCACAGCCACCGCAGCCTCGACCTGCTTGGCTCAGTTGATCCTTCTGCCTCAGCCTTCCAAGTTGCTGGAACTACAGGCACATGCCACCATGCCCGGCTAATTTTTTGATTTATTGTAGAGACAAGGTCTCACCAAGTTGCCCAGGCTTGCCTCGAACCCCTGGACTCAGGCAATCCTCTCACCTTGGCCTCCCAAATATACAAAATTTTTTATAAATAAATTCCAATTTCTTTGGGTCCTCCTTATAATCGCTCCTGCCTGCTGGGAGGTACCCCTAAGTGAAATTCCCAGTTTCTACAACATCTATCCTTTACAAATCAGAGAACCTAATATCCCCTTATGGGCTAGCAAAGAAAGGAAAATTAGCAAGGTAATTTTGCCCACATACTTAGATATTCAATGTCTTGGGTGTTATTCTCCTATACATTAATGAAAACTAAGAAATAAAAAGGACACGTCTAGAATCTACCCAAGCATGCCCCAGTGAAAAGTCACTCACAGAACACTTCATAGGATCAATGGGAGAAGAATCTTTCTGATATCTTGCCTCAGGACTAGAATATAAATTACAATCACTGATTCAAAAAAAATTTATTGAGCATTTGCTAAGTGCCTGACATGGCATCAGGCACATGCACAAGGCAATTTGGGAAATTAAGTGATTTACATAAATTTTCAGGTCAGGTATGGTAGCTCATGCTTGTAATCGCAACACTTTGGGAAGCCAAAGCAGGAGGACTGCTTGAGCCCCGAAGTTTGAGACCAGCCTGAGCAACACAGTGTGACCTCTCTACAAAAAATATATAAATAGGCCAGGCGCCTGTAGTCTCAGCTACTTGGGAAACTTAAGAAGAAGAATTGCTTGAGCCCAGGAGGTCGAGGTTGTAGTGAGCCAGGATCGCGCCAATGCAATCCAGTTTTGATGACAGAGTAAGACCCTGTCTCAAAAACAAACAAAAAAGGCCAGGCATGGTGGTTCACACCTATAATCCCAGCACTTTGGGAGGCTGAGGTGAGAGTACTGCCTGAGTCCCAGTCGTCTGAGACAAGCCTGAGCAACATAGTGAGACCCTGTCTCTACAATAAATCAAAAATTAGCCAGGCGTGGTGGTACATGCCTGTAGTCCCAGCTACTTGGGAGGCTAAGGCAGAAGGATTGCCTGAGCTCAGAGGGTCAAGGATGTGGTAGCCATGAGTGTGCCACTGTACTCAAAAAAATTTTAAAAAATTCCAGAGCTGATAAGTGACACTTATTTGCCCATGATATGAAAGAAGACTTTCACATACATAAAAAGCCTACTCTTAAGCCTAATTAAGGAAAAGCAGTTTGCATATTTCCTGAAAAAAGATCTGTCCACCCAAAATTGTGACATGTATGTTTTAAGTTAAAAGCTATTAGATTTAGCACTTTTGTAGTAACACTGATTATGCTCCCCATTCAGCCAAAACAATGGTCTAGAAACTAGTTACACTGTATTAAATTGTGTGAAATAAATATCATATGGGTTCTGAATGTGAATGCCATCTCATGCACAATGCAATTATGGAAAGTCCTTGTTTGAGAAATTTAAAAGTAGGCTGCCATTATAGTACTTCATTTTGTGGAAGTACTGTCATTACCCTGATGAAAGAAAAGCTGTGTTCATCATTTTTTATTTTGCCTTTATTAGGTTAAAGTCATGACAGATTGACATGAACAATTCTGAAGGGAAAAAAAAAGAAATTTAATAAGCTCTAAAGACATACCCACCACCCACAGAAAAAAATCTTTATACACGTATGAATTTTATAATACTATGGTTAACTCAAACTGACTGAATTAAACTGAAATAAAGCACTGCCCTTGAGTCATACCACTATGAGTGTACCACGGTCCTTAAGCTAAGGACCTATGACAACTGCTATGACAAAAACATTTCCTAAAGTTACTCACACACGATCTTTTGGGGTACCAGTCCATCATCCATCTGGAGTCTATCTTCCATGAACGCCAACCCCAGCCTGCTGAAGTCATCCACACTTGCTTTAGCAATTAACTGATAAGGGTCCCCAGGTCTGCAAGCTAATGGCAGACAACAGTCTGACCACTTTATAATCTGAGAAAAAAGCGGGTGAGGAAGGAGGTAGAAAAACAGAGGTTGGGATTTTTCTTCTCTAAAATAACCAGATACTTTATTTTTCCCTTCAGGCTCCCCACCACTAAATGATAGTCAGACATAACAAATTACTGGATGCTGCATCTCATGAATATCAAAGTTGTTTTGGCTCAAATATTCTCATTTGTACATTTCTGACAACCGTGCTAACAAAACACATACTATAACTCATTTGAAAGTAACTGAGGCCACAGGGCTGGGCATGGTGGCTCATGCCTGTAATCCCAGCATTTTGGGAGGCGGGGCAGGGGTGGTGGTGAGAGGATTGCCTGAGTCCAGGGGTTTGAGACCAGCCTGGGCAACTTGGGGAGACCTCGTCTCTACAATAAATCAAAAAATCAGCCGGACATGGTGGCGTGTACCTATAGTTCTAGCTACTTGGAAGGCTGAGGCAGAAGGATTGCCTGAGCCCAGCAGGTTGAGGCTATGGTAGCCATGAGCATGCTACAGCCTGGGCTACAGAGTGACACTCCGACTTAAAAACTCTTTAAATTTTTTAAAAGGATAAAAGTGACTGAGGCCTGGCACCATGGCTCATGCCTATAAATCCAGCTCTTTGGAAGACTGAGGCAGGAAGATGGTTTAAAGCCAAGAAGTCGAGAGCAGCCTGAGCAACAAAGTAAACCCCCTTCTCTACAAAAAATAGAAAAATTAGCCAAGCATGGTGGTGCACACCTATAGTCCCATTTACTCAGGGGGCTGAGGTAGGGGGAATTGCTTGAGCCCAGGAGTTTAAGGCTGTGGTAAGCTGAGATCATGCCACTGCACTCCAGCCTAGGTGACAAAGTGAGATCCTGTCTCTAAAAACATAAAAAAGTGAACTAAAGTCTCAACTTCTTTAAGAAACTGAAAGTGAAAGGGCCAGTCCCTAGATATCAGAAAAACCTAACACTGCCCTTTAATAACAGGAAGTAGGAGAGAACAAAAAGCCCATCAAATCCATTTTTCAATGTAACCTGTGGATCAACTTTTCCCTAAATGTGCTGTAAGACCAAATGCAACGGAACTAATAGGGAGCACAGTAGGCTTTCCGATTCCTGAGCGCCACTCCCTCCTACTGGTGCACTAGACTCTCCGGAGTTGGAGCTCAGGATTCAGAATGTTTAAACATGCTTCCCCAGGGAGCCCAGCACTCCCAATTGTCTCCAGTTCCTGCCTGTGTGGAAGTTCATTTTCCCACCAGAAGGGGGACAGGGAAAACAGGAGCAGATGAAACTCAGTCCTTTAAACCTTCTAGTTTTCTCTGAAGAACCTGAAACTGGGATGCTGACTACCTAGAATCTCTCTGAAGATTCCCAGTGTGGGGGTAAGAGCTTGGCTCTGGAATCGAGGGTCTGAGCCTGAGTCAAACTCAGCTAATCATCACCATTCGTCCCCAGGCAAGCCTTTCTTTGCCTCTCTCAGCTTCCTCGTTTGTAAAATGGGAATCCTGATATTAATGCCCATCATCTACAGGTCAGTTGCGCTAATGAAAGTAAAGAGTATACTTAATGCTCCCAGTAGAAAGCGTGGGGCAGAAGAACCAATTAAGAAAGTTGCTTTATTAGCTATTAACAATGTGACTTTAAAAGCAGCCAGGCTTAGTGGCTCAGTCTGTAATCCCAGCATTTTGAGAGGCCGAGACGAGTGGATTGCCTGAGTCCATGGTTCTAGACCAGCCCGGGCAACTTGGCAAGACCTCGTCTCTACAATATATCAAAAATTAGCCGGGCGTGGTAGCGTGCACCTGTAGTTCCGGCTATTCGGAAGGATCACCAGCACCAGGGCCCAGTGGGTCGATGCTGGGGTGGCCATGAGTGTGTCCCTGCACTCCAGCGTGGGTGACAGAGTGAGATTCCAACTCAAAACAAACAAAAAAAGCAACAGTGAGCATTGTAATCTTTTTCTAAGATGCCATGAATGATTCTTCTGCTTTCTAAAAATATCTTCTCAGGAACATACTTCAAATTTCATAATTAGAGACATATAATTTTGAATTCCATTTTTTATTTATTTTTGAGATGGGGGGATCTTACTCTATCACCCAGGCAGGTCTTGACCCCCTGGGTTCAAGTGATCCTCCTGCCTCAGCCTCCCAAGAAGCTGGGACTACAGTCATGTGACACCACAACTAGCTAGCATTTTTGTTGTTGTTGTTGTTTTGAGACAGGGCCTCACTATGTTGCCCAGGTTGGTCTGAATTCCTGCGCTCAAGCAACCCTCTTGCCTCAGCCTCCCACGCTGGACTTGAATCCATTTTATATACTGATGGGCAAGGTTTTTAGAACTAACTCCTCCTAAAAACCATGAAAAAAATGCTGGATAAAATAAATAAATAAAACATCATCTTAGAAGCATGGAAGAACTGACTAGAAAATAGAGAATTGCCAAACTGGGTGCTAGCATACCAGGTGGAGGGGGCAAAAAAAACATAAAATTATCTTTTGGAGGGCAGGCCCCTTGTAGTATAGGCTTCCCCCATTAGGTAAGTGTTCTAGGAACCTATCAGCATCAGTGTACCAACTAGCGTTGTTGTGAGAGGCTGTATTCAGTGATCTTTTTTTGGAGATTCTTTCAACGCATTTGCCCATTTCGTGATGGGTGATTTATGAGCACACCCACCCACACTGTGCTGGATGTTCAGCAGCCTTTGACCAAAAACGGCATGACCCCCTTACCCCACCCTTCCTATACACCTGATCTTACCCAAGTGACTTTCTTTTGTTTCCCAGATGAAAAAGGTCCTTAAAGGGAAATGTTTTGCCAATGTGGAAGAGGTGAAACAAAGCACAGCGGAAGCACTGCAGGGCATCAAAATGAATGAGTTCAGAAACAGTTTTGAGCAGTGGACGTGTCTCGACAGGTGTATTGCAGCAAATGGAAGGTGTGCTAAAGGTGACTAAAGGTTAAACATGTAAGAGTAAATACAAAATTTTGGGGGGTCCCCCTTGTAACTCCTGAACCTACAGAGAAGCAAGGGGAATTCCCACAAGCCAAGCCACTTCTGCCCTGAGGGTACTTGCTCATTCAGGCAACCTGGGCTTCAAAAGTCAAGATCTGACTGGCATAAGGAAAAACATAAATCAATACAATAGGACCAAAATTTAATAAGCTCTGAAGATGCATTTAAGAGTACAGAGATAAACACTTATGGATAATTGATTTTGGGAAAAGGTGCCAAGACAATTCAATAAGGAAAGAATATTTTTTTCAACAAATCGGGCTGGTACAACTGGATATCCACATAAAAAAGAATGACGACAGAGGCTGAGCTTGGTGGCTCACACTTGTAATCCCAGCACTTTGGGAGGCCAAAGCAGGAGGATTGCTTGAGCCCAGTCAGGAGTTCAAGACCAGCACAGGCAACATAGTGAGACCTTGTCTCTACAAAAAAAAAAAAAAAAAAAACTAGCTGGGCTTGGAAGCTTAGCCTATAATCCCAGCACTTTGGGAGGCCGAGGCGAGTGGATTACCTGAGCCTGCAGGTTTGAGACCAGCCTAGGCAACTTGGCAAGACCACATCTTTACTATAAATCAAAAACAAATTAGCTGGGCGTGGCAGCGCATGCCTGTAGTTCCAGCTACTTGGAAGGCTGAGATGGAAGGATCACCAGACCCCAGCAAGTTGACACTGGGGTGGCTGTGAGCATGCCACTGCATTCCAGCCTGGGCAACAGAATAAAATTCCAACTCAAAGAAAAAAAATTAGCCAGGCATTGTGGCACACACCCATAGTCCCAGCTACTCAGGAGGCTGAGTTGGAAAGATCACTTGAGCCCGGAGTTTGAGGCTGCAGTGATCCATCACTATGCCATTGCACTTCAGTTTGAATACCAGAGTGAAATTCTGACTCAAAAAAAAAAAAAAAAAACCAGATCAAGATGGAGCCTTATTTCATACCACGTACATCATGTATAAAAATTAACTCATGGTATGGAGACGGGGCAAGATGGTGACGGCATAGGTGAACTGCTATCAGTATTCTTTAGGGAATCTTTCTTACCTGTCTTTTTTCACTTCTTCCCAGCCCTGTGTCTCTCTCTCACCTGATAGTTGGGACCAAGACTGCAAACTGCTGAATAGACAGACTGTAAAGCAGAGGGAAAAGTGAACAAAACCAGAAGACCCTCATAAGGAAGAACAGGTCATTGCAGAAGAGAAATAAAAGCAACCCCACCTTCCCTCAAAAACAGAATTGAAGAGGGGGAGGGAAAGGGAGAAAAATCTACAGAAATGAAGAAAAACCAAAAGAAGAGTATGGGTCTCTCCCAGACGCCTGGGAGAGCAGACACTGAGAAAATTGACTTTGGAATACAAACAATGAAAAGTCCCCAGAATGAAGGGTCTCAAAATGCAAATGTAGATATCAAAACAATAATGGAGAGACTAAAAAGAATTGAGGAGACACAAGAAGAAACTAGGAAGGAGCTGATATCTGAGATAACAGTAATAAAGAATACTGTGAATGAAATAAATAACAAATTGATAAGCATGGAAAGCAGAATTACCCAAGCAGAAGAAAGAATCTCAGAGCTTGAGGACCAAAATATAGAAATAACCCAAACTCTTAAAAACACAGAAAATAAGCTAAAAAAGACAGAACAAAACCTTCAAGAGATGATGACTACCTC